AGATGAGAAAGATTCTGTAGCAGACCTCTGGAAAAAATTGAAAAAGCTTTATCTGGCTAAAAGCTTATCCAATAAGTTGCATCTAAAGCGGCAACTTTATGCACTAAAGATGGTGGAAGGTGGCAGTCTCATGGATCACATGAATACGTTCAACGGAATTTTGGATCAACTCCAAAAAGTTGGCGTGGATATTGAGGAAGAAGATAAGGCCCTTTTACTTCTTACCTCAGTCTCTGATTCTTACGAAAGTGTCGTGACGACCCTGTTTTATGGGAATGACACTTTAGAGTTCAAGAATGTGCAGTTTTCTTTGTTGGATCATGAAAAACAAAGGAAGGCAAACCAGGATGTGACACAAGAAGCTGCATTAATTGCTCGAGGTGAGAATAAAAGAGGAAAACAATTTGGCAGTGAATCTAAGGCAGGTGGTTCAAAGGCCAAGAGAAAGGGTGGAATCCAGTGCTTTGGTTGTCATGAGTTTGGTCATATCAAAAGATATTGCCCTCATCAAAAGAAAAATGATGAGAATGACTATGATGGTATTGCTGGATATGCATCGGGTGGAGATATTCTCACAATCTCCAAAGGTAATAATACTTCTTCTCGTGATGGTTGGATCTTAGATTCTGGATGTGTTTCACATGTTTGCTCCAGGTTAGACTATTTTGATACTCTCCAAAGAAAGAAGGCAGGTTTTATGTGCTTGGGTGATGGATCTACTTGTCAAGTCAAAGGTGTTGGAGTGGTGAAAATCAAAATGTTGAATGGAGAGATTCGTTCTTTGGGTGGTGTGGCTTATGTTCCAAAGCTACGAAGGAATCTAATTTCTTTGAGCAAATTAGACTCCGAGGGTTACCATTTTTTCGCTGCAGGTGGAGTCTTGAAAATCACACATGATGAGACGGTCTTGTTGATGGGGAAGAAGTATGGTAATCTAAACCATTTGAATATCTCAATGGATTGGGAGCAGAATGGGATCCAAGAATGCTCTCAAATTACAAATGGTGGTGAGAGGAAAAATCCTGCTATGGGAGAGGGTGAATTGAGGCCCCTCTCGCGAGTCAACTAGATGTTGGACTCGGTTAGCTACACACGTTCATTTGCCGATTGAATCAATTGAAAACAAGACCGTATTGATTCGAGTGTGTAGTTAGGCACCAAGGTCCTTGGTGGGAAAAGGCAAATGGAGTTTTTTTTTGGATGGTTTGCTGTGTTTGCTAAAAGAAATACTCGCAAAGGTGGAGATTTGATAGGAAATTGGCTTAATTTCTTTTAGTCAAGATTCCTATTTGGTGTGGGAAGTAACTAGTTTCCTAATTGGATTTAGTTACTTGAAGTAATAGTCAAGTAAATTCCTATTTAGCTAGATACTATTTTCTACTCTATATGAGTTTAGGAAATAGTATTGGTTTCCAATTGTTATTTGATTATTTGGCAGTAATGTTCTCTATAAATAGGTAGATTGGCATACTACAATGACACACAAGAAAGGAGTGAGAGAGTTCTTAGTGGGTGAGAGGGTTATACAAGAGTTGGGGTTTGGGAATCAGTTGTAATCTTCTGATGTTTTTCTCTCATAGTAAGAACAAGTTTTTCTCTCCGTGGATGTAGGTTTGGTGATTAAGCCAAACCACGTTAATTCTTGTGTGTTGTTCATCGTTCGTGCTAGATATTGTTTTCTATTAAATTGTTAGTCTTTTCTTTTTCAAATAATTGGCCTGATACCCTAACAAGTGGTATCAGAGCTGATGGTTCGGCTGGGCAGTGACTCCAAGGTAAAAAGCCAGTGGGAGTGGTAAGGCGTGGCTTGAATAAGAGCGGGAAAAAAAAATCATGTAGACCTGCAGTGAGGCAAGGGCATGTGGGCTCTTGAGCAAGAATCATACACTCCAGATTAAAGTGGGCTTGATGGAGTGGGAGAGAGGTCCGATGTGAAAGAGATTCACAATTGAGGGGGAGATTGTTGGGATATCAAGTGTGAATCAATATCCCACATCGGAAAGAGATGACTAGAATGAGGAACATATAAGTGGGAATGATCCATAGACCCAATGCCTTAAGATTTTGGGTTGGATATGGTGTCAAACCCATGGTTGTGGTTCCCATTCTAACTTATGGTTAAATTCTCTCCGAGTTTGGCTCTCCCAGAGCCCAACACTTGTATCCCCGGGTAGACGATCTGCTCTCTGCTTTGCTTTTGACGACTTTCTTTAGACCTTTTTCTTTACTTTTCTCCAGCACGAACACGAAACCAAAAAAGAAGCAAGACTTTTCGTTTGTCTCGTCGTTATTTCATCTTTCCCAACTTTTTGGTAATTAAGTGGATGGAATCAATCAAATCACGCAAGATTGATGTGATGAGGAACGGCTAGATTTCTCTGCTACCCAAAGGTTGACGCGAAGGCGCGGTCCATAACATCTGTGAGATCTAATCGAACTTTCACTATTTCTTCCAATCCGTTACTATTCGTGCATTTCCTGGATTAACTGTTTATGGTTATTTTATTAATTGAGTATCAACAGCCGGATATTTAATTTAATCTAATAGCCTACTGTCACGTTAACTAAATTGAATCCGTAATTGTTCGTTTAGTTGATAATTAGTGACAACCATCATAATTGGTTTTATGTTGGGGAAACGTAAGATCTAATTTAAATAAACCCTCTTAGCATGTTTATTGGTTAGGGTTGGGTTTTTCTAGCGTTAATGCAACTGAATAATTGAATTCTTACGGTCGTAACTAAGGTTATTTTCTGGTTAGAGAAGCAATCAATGGTCGTACTTTGGCTATCGAAAAAGTAAGAAAAAACTGGCAGTCAGAGTTTGTTGATAGCTATAACCAACCTAGTGACGAATGAATGAAATATCTTTGCATCAATGATCATTTAATTGGACCGTGCCTGAAAAGTTAATCCTTTGGATAGAATTTTGCTAATTGCTATTTTTAGTAAATTGTACTTGGCGAGTTAGCTTTTGAATTTTGTTTATTTTATTTTCATTTTCATTCCATTAAATATCTCCCAATTTTGTTCTATTGACTTGGAAAGAAACAACTTCTTACCCGTTACTTGTGGAATCGACCCTACTTGGCATTTTCAGAAACAACTTCTTAAATTTTAATCTTTATGAAACCCAGCTTCTCCCTCAATTTTCAGAGGTTTCTTTTCCTTCATCATGTCAAAGTTGCTATTATAATCACTGTAATTAGACAGCTAAACTTGTCATTCCAATTATACCCTTGATCCGCCGTGGGAAATACATAAAATGTGGTTGAACTGCCCAATAAGTTCCACATTGAACCAGATAAAATTGTTTAAGGACTAAATTGGTAAAAAAAAAATCATAAATGATGAAATTGATTTAAGTGAAAAAGTTCAAGGACCAAATTGGCGATTTTTCCGTATTATTATTATTATTATTATTATTATTATTAGTCTGAGATGCCGAACAAGTTGTGGAGACTTATTTCACCTTTACAAGGTCATTGGAGGGCTTGACGAGGTGCGATTTGGTAAGGAAAGGCACAAAAAACTCTTTTTTCTTTATTAAAAAACATACAAATTGCACTAATAATGGCTGAAAATGCATCCAACATGCAATAGTGAAAAATTGTTAGATGCAAGATATATAAAAGTTAACAAAAATTATCTTAGTACCTCTGATATATTCCAAATTCAGATAAATCATCTGCCCCCAATGAATATATGTGCATATCATCATTGTCAATAAATATTTATGCATATCATTGCCGTTAGATTTTATAATGAAGTGGTTCAAGCTCCAAATCTAGTTTTAGACTTGAGAAAATAAGTTAAGAAATTCAAGATTTGACATACAAATCTGAAAAGCTCTCAAATCTAACAAAACAAGATATAAAATTATATAAATAAAACTCTCACTAGGATATCTTAGTAGAGAGGAAAATTCTCACTAGAAAGTCTCACTATAATTTATTCGACATAAAAAAAAAAAGAGAAGTCAAACAGAGGGAGGAAGGCATTCCTTCATGGAGGAAAAAATAATTGTCTTGAAGGTTTTGTAGAGAGATGGTGGAGAAACTTCTTTTGTTTTATCCATTGGATATCTTTCTAATTGTTAGCTAACGAACAATAAACTCTAAATGAAACTACTAAATTTGCAACCGAAGACATTTTTGTTCTTGTATTTTAGTATCGTAATCGTCACCCAATCAGAGCCGCCCATGACGGCTTCATTAAATATATAATTTGGGGGAACCAGGAGTTGAGGCCAAATTTCGGCAACCTTCAAGGCACTTCATTGTTTTCTCACAAATTTTGTTTATTTAGTGTAAAAGATTAACTTTAAAGTGTCCTCAAATTTCTTCCCTATTTTCTCTCAAACTTTACCCGTGAAAATTGTTTGTCTTCATCTCGTTGATTGTCTCCCCCAGTGCATACAAATGTATTATGGGCATTTTGGTGAAAGAAAGGCACAAACCGAGTTCTGCACAACTAAATTTTGCCAATAGCATATGAAAATATGAAGAAGAATAATAATAAATGAAGGATCTGTCTAATAGGTGTCCATAAAGCGTCATTAAAATATATCTCAGGCGTCATGCTTTTGGAAATGTAAAATTAATTAGAAAAAATAAATAAATACAAGAGAGAGTAAATAAAATTAAATAAGAAAAATATATAAATGCAAGAAAGATTAATAATTGTTAATAGATGTATATACATGATAGATTAGATAAACGTTAAATATGTTAACCAGCGCCTTATTAGCAACCGTTAAAAAAAACCCATAAATGAAAGATGTGATCACCAAATCATTGACAAAGAAATGTGTTGAAAATGAAACAAGAAAGTCAAACATGATAAGGGATCAAAAATAGAATTTAATAATTGCAGATACTCCAAGAAGTTGAGTTGAAATCAGTTATCCGATTTCCAATTCACAACTTATGCTGTCAAAGAACTACAAAGGTACTCAACTTCTGCAAATATTTATTAGTTTCGAAACTCTTACAAGTACCCTAGCACCTGAGATCAAGACCCAACTGGTCACAATATTCAGTATAATACTCAACACGAGCACTAACAGCGTCCGGATTTGCACCATCACTTTCAAGCTGTCCGTTAACGGCACGAATTGTAGCCCCAAAACCCTGACCAGAAATTATAAGATCATGACAATTGTTCATCCAGAACCACAAGGCAGTTTTGAATGAAATAACATTATCTGTGGCCACAGTTTCAGGTTCATTTAGTCCATCGAACCCTATGCTTTCCCCTGCTGGCCCATAGTTAAAGTTCCATGATATTTGTAATGGACCCTTGCCTGGCACACATGGGTACTGAGTGTTGCTCTCATCACAGTAATCTTTGGAGGGGCCGTCTATCTCTTCTATGTAGCACAAATCTGCGCATATAGAGAAGTCTGTATTCAATTATCACTGGATTTCAGATGTTTTTACTATTAAAAAAAATATAATCTAAATACAAAAATAAATGAGAAAATAAAAAAGTTGATTATTTAAAATCAGAATCTATAGTCAGTTATAATAATCAATCAAGAACAACCCCAAAACAATGTCATCAATAATTAAGAAGGGACCATATGTTATAAAGAAATTGTAAAGTTACAAGTAATCACAGACTAAATAAATAACCAATGCAACAAAGTAGAAAAAAAAAAAAGGAAAACAATAACCCCTCTGCCCAGTTATAAGAGACACACCCTCATGATAAATTTCTTTTTTTTTAGGTAGGTCATTTTAAGTTATTTGATAATAGTAAGTATTTCATATTAATGTCGTTATCTTTGAAGAAAGCTCTTGGACAACAGTGCACAGGACAACATCCTATGTAGAACTGTACAAAGATTTAGTAAATAGGATCTCAGACTTAGAAAAGTTACTAAAAATTTCAAAAAAAAAAACTAAATCTCCTTGGTGGAGTTGTTCAAAGCTTACGTCCAGTCTCATGAGTCACATGAGCAATGAAGGCAGCAATCTCCCTTTTAGAATCATCAACTGAACCAACTGTTCCAAACTCAGAATACGAATTCAGAGCTTCAAGAAATGCCGATGCAGTATAGAACCCTTTTCCAGCACAGCTTGAAGCAGCTTGATCAGAAGTCCCGCTCAAGAAAGCGTCTGTCACAACATCAGCAACTGAAACACCATTATTACCACCATCTGATGCAGCGGTGCAAGGGCCGGACTGGCAGCCTTTGCCACAACAGTCGTCGCTGGTGCCACAATGGCCCCACTGGCTGCAGCATAAATCTGGTTCAGAGTCACAGTTTTGGCTTGAAATCAACTGGGAAAAGGACCCTACAAGAACCAATGTTTTCAGGACCGGGCCGGTCCGACCGCGGACCGGCCATGGCACCGGTCCGGTCCAGTATCAAACCCGGAAGCTAGTGGAAAACCGCTAAAAACCATATGAACCGTTGAACCGCTAAAAACCCGTGTGAACCGTAAACCGGCAGTTCTCAAATTTTGAAACAATAACCTCAAATTCAAAACAATAACAAGAATGGAGACTTAGAAAAGTTACTAAAAATTTCAAAAAAAACTAAATCTCCTTGGTGGAGTTGTTCAAAGCTTACGTCTAGTCTCATGAGTCACATGAGCAATGAAGGCAACAATCTCCCTTTTAGAATCATCAACTGAACCAACTGTTCCAAACTCAGAATACGAATTCAGAGCTTCAAGAAATGCCGATGCAGTATAGAACCCTTCTCCAGCACACCTTGAAGCAGCTTGATCAGAAGTCCCGCTCAAGAAAGCGTCTGCCACAACATCAGCAACTAAAACACAATTATTACCACCATCTGATGCAGCGGTGCAAGGGCCGGACTGGCAGCCTTTGCCACAATAGTCGTCGCTGGTGCCACCATAGCCCGGGAAAAGGACCCTACAAGAACCAATGTTTTCAGGACCGGACCAGACCGACCGGTCTGATCGTGGACCGGCCATGGCACCGGTCCGGTCCAGTATCAAACCCGGAAGCTAGTGAAAAACTGCTGGAAACCATGTGAACCGTTGAACCGCTAAAAACCCGTGTGAACCGTAAACCAGCGGTTCTCAAATTTTGAAGCAATAACCTCAAATTCAAAACAATAACAAGAATGGAGGCTGTTGGGATTTGAACTCTAATCTTCATGACCATAATAAGGTATGCTTACCACTAAACCACAACTGGAGGACAAGCTTTTGTTATGTAGAATTTTACTTAACTTAACCAAAAAACTAGAATCAGATTAAATAAAAAAAAACCCTAACAGACCTAGCTTCACCAATTAGATTAAATTAAAAAAAGCCTAAAATTTTTGGCTTTTTTTTTAGCCTCACCAATTAGATTTATATTTTTTGTAATAAACTTTTAAATTTTTTTCAGGTTAAATTGATGAAATTGTGAAGGGGATGCTGTTGCCTTGTTATGCAAATGATGGAAGTTTGTTATTCAAATTGTTTGCCTTGAATATGAGTTGAACTTTTTATGGACTTTTTTAGAATTGTGAAAGAATGTTAACATTTATTTTATTTATTTTTGTGTTTTTATTTGTGATAATTGATGAACATTTGGACTATATCTATTTATGTTTGTAATGAATTTATGAAAACTTGGAGTGAATTATGATATTTTAGTTATATTTATCATTCCAGGTTTCATGTATAACTTTTGAAAAATTTATTATTATCTCAACTTAAATTTAGATTTAACTTTTAAGTTATATTGGTGAATGTATTTTAGGGACTTAAGTTATTAATAACCATGTTAGATTGTTCATTAGCCATCAAGTTCTAGTGTAGACTATAGAGTGAAGACCTGTGAAGTACAACAAAAAAAAAAAAAATTGTTGAACCGTTGAACCGGCCGGTCGGACCGTGAACCGGCCCCCTCTCCGATTCGCTGGCCGGTCCGAGTTTAAAAACATTGACAAGAATTGCAATGAAGAAAACGATGATTAGAAAATTCTTCATTTTTGTACTTGAAGAGGGAGGAAAGGATGTGGACAGAAATTGTTTGAGTAAGAAGGAGGATATTTATATCATAGAGAACTGGAAAAGTGATCAGCTTGTGTGAAGTATGGAGAACTGCTATTGTTGGAAATCTTGAAGTTGAGGACTGAATGGAATGGATATAAAAAGCAATATTAGTGCTTGACTTTTAATTAAGGGATAATTGCAGAAACCTCCCCTGAGGTTTCTGACATTTGCACTGACCTCCCCTGTGGTTTGAAAAATTACACTGACCTCCCCTGAGGTTACTAATCCTTTGCAAAATTAGTCCAAACGATTAAAATATTGTTTTAGGGAGTAAAATTAGAATTTTGTACCAAATTTATCCTTTGTACTACATGTCCAATGAATGACAAAATACTACAAATCAATTAACAATTAATAAACTTTAAGGAGTACAGTTTATAGGCAAATAAACATTACCTATTTAAAATACCGGCTCTTTACGGGTATTTTACTTTCAGATATTTAATTTAATACAAATATTTACGCTCAAATATAGATTTGTATTTACTTTCAAATATTTAATTTTTGTTAAATACAAAAACTACCAATCTCTCTTTCGTAAAAATATTAATATAACACTTTTTTAATTTTAGTTACAAACATTTATGTATTTAATATAAATTAAATGATTTAGAATAAAATACTCATAAAGAGCCAATATTTTACTCATGTAATGGATGAAAGCCATAAAGAATTAATACTTTATGAGCCATTTTTTTAAAAAAATATTTAATTTATATTAAATAAATAACCTACCGATTTTGTTTTTGCAAGCATATTACTGTAACACTTTTTAAATTTTACTTACAAATATTGATATATTTATCATAAATTAAATATTTGAAAGTAAAATATCCGCAAAGAGCCGGCACTTTAAATGAATAATACGTGTTTGCCCATAAAGAGCGGGTAACTATTTAAAGTACCGGCTCTTTACGAGTATTTTACTTTCAAACATTTAATTTAATACAAATATTTACGCTCAAATACAGATTTGTATTTACTTTCAAATATTTAATTTTTGTTAAATACAAAACCTACCAATCTCTCTTCCGTAAAAATATTAATATAACACTTTTTCAATTTTAGTTACAAATATTTATGTACTTAACATAAATTAAATGATTCAGAATAAAATGCACATAAAGAGCGAATACTTTATTTATGTAATGGATGAAAGCCATAAAGAATTAATACTTTAAGGGCCATTTCTTTTTTTTAAAAAATATTTAATTTATATTAAATAAATAACCTACCAATTTCCTTTTTGCAAGAATATTACTATAACACTTTTTGAATTTTACTTACAAATGTTGATATATTTATCATAAATTAAATGTTTGAAAGTAAAATACCCGTAAAGAACTGGTACTTTAAATGAGTAATGCGTGTTTGCCCATGAATTATACTCCTTAACGTTTATTAATTGTTAATTGATTTATAATAATTTGTCATTCATTGGACATGTAGCACAAAGGGAAAATCTGGTATAAAATTCTAATTTCACTCCCTAAAATAATATTTTAATCGTTTGGACTAAATTTGCAAAGGATTAGTAACCTCAGGGGAGGTCAGTGTAATTTTTTAAATCACAGGGGAGGTCAGTGCAAATGTCAGAAACCTCAGGGGAGGTTTCTGCAATTATCCCTTTAATTAATCTATTGACTTTGGCACTGTCAAAAAGTAGCAACCTTCTTCATGGCATTCGGAATGGGTATTGTGGAAAAGAAAATTTTTGGCCAATTGATATCAACAATTGCGAGAACAAGTCACAAGTCACAAATATAAGGCGTGCAAAAAGATTACTTGATGTTGTCTGTATCATCTGATGTTAATAAAGCCTAACTCTGTTGTAGTCCTATTTCAGTCTCGTATTTGAGTGAGAACACAGATGATATTTGTACCATTCTAGATCCACGGGCTGCCCTACTACAAATACTTTTCATTTGGCTTAAAAAAAACATTTTAAAGGGTGTAAGCTTTACAATTAAAGCACGATCTTTACCTTATCATGCAAAGTATTGGACATATAAAATTTTATCAAACTGTTGTAGTGAAAAGAACTCGAATGATCAAATTTTATCCAGTTGATAAATATAGAATCCTAAATAAAATGCATAGTCCTTTTTTTTCCTTTAGAGTTCTTATTGCATACTATATGAATTAATTGGCAAAATTTTGGTAGCGTATAGGAAATGATACCAATATAAAAACTACATTTACTACTCGAGGGCTTATTATGCTGCCCAATTTTTTGGTTTCTACCATGAACTGGAAAAAAAATCTTTTCGAAGCATAAGTTTCCCCAAATTCTCATAGACTTTACAAATGAAAGTTATTTGTTTCTCGTCGTTCATTGTCTCACCATGCGTGTGCAGATGAATTATTGATTGGCCTTGTTGTGGCAGAAAGATAATTCCCTAATTAGTCACTTCAGCCAGTTGAATTAGATCTTATTCACAAGTTTTTTGTACTTCGGTATAATAGCGCTCTCTGTTCCTTAGTCTCTTATGCTTCGGTTTACTCCCAATCTTAATTGCCTTAACATTGGTGCATTTAGACCCTTGCATTTGGTAATTCATAATCTTAGTATAGTTATGATCCTCAAATCTCATACCTTGAGAAACATCACGGCTAAAATTGCCAATAGCATATTGAAACATGAAAAGTAAATGAAAGACTGAGAGGAAACTTCAATGGAGAGACATGTTGACAGTGAAACACCAAAGTCGAAAGCTCGACAAATATGATCAAGGGATCAAAACTGGAATATGCCTATTTGTAAATACTCCAAGAAATCGAAACAAGACCAACAAAATCAATTATATGATTTCAAAACTTAAACAACTTTCGCTTGTAAAGAGCAAGAAAGGTAAACACCTTTTGCTAATTTTTATTAATTTCCAATCAGTTTTAAGCCTTTATAGCTCAACATATTACTCCCTTCCGAGCACTTTCGGCTCTCCAGGAGCACCCTAGCATCTAAGATTCGGACCAGGATCAACACCCAGTTGGCGACAATATTGAGTATAATACCCAACACGAGCACTAACAGTGTTTGGATTTGCACCGTCACATTCAAGCCGACCATTAATGGCACGAATTGTAGCCCCGAAACCCTGGCCGGAAATGATAAGAGAATGACAATTGTTCATCCAAAACCACAACGCAGTTTTGAATGAAATAACATTATCCCTGGCTACAAGTTCAGGTTGACTTAGTCCATTGAACCCAATGCTTTGTCCTGCTGGTCCATAGTTGTAGTTCCATGATATTTGTAGTGGACCGCGGCCGTAATACCCCTTGCCTGGCACACATGGATACTGAGTGTTGCTCTTGTCACAGTAGTTTCTGGACGGGCCGTTTATCTCTTCTATATAGCACAGATCTGCATGATATAGAGAAGTCGCATTAGTTACCATTCTGTCGAATTGATAAAAAGAAAAAATGCATGTTTGGTAAGACAAGGATTGTCGGATGATATGATAATGAAAAATGTAGAAAACAAATTTTATGAGTTCTAATAACAATTAATTGCAAAATTATAGAATTGAAAGGATTTAAGAATCACAAACAAATATATTTATGTGGACGAAAAGAGAATAAATAACTTAACTCAAAACGTCATTAACATTTTAAACAAAGAAGAAAGTCTTACCGAAATAAAAATTTAATAAATTTTCTATAGACTATTTTAGGCTTTCCTAAATTTTTAGAAAATACTCCACCTAATACTCTATTGATAATTTATCAGAATCGTTGAATAAGAAACAACACGATTAATTATGAAATAAAACCCCAATTACTAATTAATAAAATTACTAGAACTTGGCTTCAATAAAACTAATGCTAATTAAATAGAAAATTTTTGAAGCTTGGTTTATTTTGCCAGAAAAAGAAAAAGAAAAGAAGAGCCATCAATATTTTTGAATGAACCACAAGTGATT